TAACAGTCAATAAAACTCATCAAAGTAATTTATTTTTCTGGTTTTTTCCTTCACAAAATGGTAATACAAATGCACCATTACTTGTATGGTTACAAGGTGGACCAGGTTCATCATCTTTATTTGGTTTATTTGCTGAACAAGGTCCAATTATGGTTGATAAAGAAAAAAAACTTCATCCAAATGATATAACATGGAATTCAAAATATCATCTACTTTATATTGATCAACCAGTTGGAACAGGTTATAGTTTTACTAAAAGTGAACAAGGTTATGTACGTAATGAAGATGAAGTAGCTCGTGATTTATATTCAATGTTAACACAATTCTTTCAACTATATAATGAATATGTATTATGTCCATTTTATGTTACTGGTGAATCTTATGGTGGAAAATATGTACCAGCTATAGTTTATAAAATTCATATTGAAAATCCTCAAGCTAAAGTAAAAATCAATCTTAAAGGTATGGCTATTGGTGATGGTCTTATAGATCCATATAATGAATGGGATTATGGACCAGCAATGTATCAATTTGGATTAATTGATGAACAGCAATTGGAACTTGTTAACTTACAAACATCATTAGCACGAACTGCAATAGAACTGAAGCAATATTTATTAGCTTATGCAATATTTAGCAATTTATTGGATTTGTTTTATACAGAAAAAACTGGTTTAAATGATGTTTATAATTATTTATTAACACAATTACCAGATGCATTTGGTTATTATGTACCATGGGTGACAGCAAGTGAAAATCGCCGTAAAATTCATGTTGGACATCAACGTTATAATGATGGTGCAGTAGTTGATATTGCTCTAGCAAATGACATTATGCAGTCGATTGTCGGAAAAGTTGTTGAAATCGCTAATAATAATTATAAAATACTGATTTATAATGGTTTACTCGATGTTATTATAGCATCATCATTAACTATGGATTGGGTTGATAAACTTCAATGGAAATATGCTGATGAACTTCGAAGTGCTGAACGAAAAATTTGGAAAGTTAAAGAGGACGATAAAGAAGTAGCTGGTTATTTAAAACAAGCACATTCATTTTATGTTGCTTGGGTTCGAAATGCTGGTCATATGGTACCAGCTGATCAACCAAGAGCTGCATTTGATCTTATTGATCGATTTATATCAGCTTAACTATAATTAATCTTATATATTTTCGTTTTTATTCACTATTTTTATGATTTATTATTACACGACATTTTTTTGAATTGTCGTGATATACCCACGCATACGCACAAATAGAAATAGAAAAGAGAAAAACAAAATCCAACAATTGAGAAGCAAACAACGATGAGAAAAAAAAATTCAATTAATAAGTATTTTGTATTTGTATGTGATGAAAAAGTATTAATGAATGAAATCGTTTTCTCTTTTCTTTTATGTCACATGATGAAAACGATTGATGACGGACAAAAAAAGATTTTGTGGTCAATATATATATAAAAAAAAAAAAAAAAAAAGAAAATCTAATGTACATATTTTAATGATTTGTACGATTCGCGATACATACACAATACAAATCGAAATGAGATACATATAAATAGAAATTAAACTTAGAGATACATAGAATAATACAGACACATAAATACATAGAAGAATAAAAATCGAGATGACCATGTGGGTATCCCCTGAGATTTCATCTTATATTGTTTTTGTTGCTTTAAATTGATTAATATAAGAATTGTTGACGTATTATTTTCGTGTAGAAATAGATGGTGTTATTGTGGACGTTGTTGTTGTTGAAGAATTTTCAGACTTATTATTATTTTTTTTTGATATATCAGATATTGTTGGATCTATTTCAAATTCAACAAGTAATGAAAAATGATCCGATGGAACATTTGGTTGTGGACAACCAACAATTTTATTTGATTGTAACCATTCAGGATCAAGTGGTCCCAATACACCAAGTACACGCATTAATTGTGATGAAAAAAATACATAATCAATTATACCTTTAAAATCATATCTATAATATATATTAAAAAGACCTATAAATAAAAACATTCTAATAATTAAAAATAAACATACGTATAATTTGTATAAGGCATTATAGGAGATGATGTTGTTTCATATGCTGATTGTAATTTAAAATGATGCGTTATATCAGTGCTTTGTGTTGAATTAATATCAGAACGATTAATCTTTTGTAAACATGATTGATATGAAAGATCTTTAAAATCAGCGTGATTCATTGAAATTTTTCCACTACGCATAAATTCAATAACACCTTTGAAAGATAAAAATTAATAATAAAAAAGAAAAGAACATTTTTTTTTCTCTATCTACCTGAATCAGGTAATGAATTAAAATCACCACAAAGAACTAATGGTACAGATGTGCAATCTATTGATGGATTAGAATTTTTTCGATGCAATTTCATTGCATCTTCCATAATGGTTTTTAATTCTGATAATAACATTAATGTTTGAATAACTTTTACATCAGAATATTCTGGATCCCAATGAATATGTGCTGTACAAACAAATAGCATTTGTTTATGATCAGATGGTAAAACACCTAAAAGAGATTTTTTTTAATTTCAAAACTAAAATACTTTAATATGTTTTTTTTTGCTACCATTTGAAAATGTATGAGAATAGATTGCATCTTTTGTCTCAAGTAAAGCAACAAGACCAATATTATCTTTCGTCATAACACGATTCATCATATCATGACATGCTGGACCATTTGCAGCTAGCATTGCTAATTGATTAAATTCGACAAGATAATGTTTGATTAAATTAAATCTTGATTTTAAATAATAAAAAATAAAATAAATTGTTTTGAAAAAAAAAAGAAATGTATTACTAATTACTTTGATTGACGATAAAATATAGCACAACCGTCGACAAATCGACGATCTTGTTCACACATTGTTTTTGCACGTGATTTTGGACTAAATACACCATCATAACCAATCTTTTGTAATTCAGGTAAAAAGTATGAACAAAACTGATCAGTTTCAATCTCCTAAAAATTTTATATCAATATTAAATTCACATATTCACTCATTTTTTTTTAAATCGGAATAGATATTGTTCAAATTTAAAAAATCAAATATCATAATACCTTCTAATTTTTCTTCCTTAGGTCAGCAAAAATAATTTTTTGTACAATGAGAAATGTTATGAAGGTTTTGCTGTAAAGCGAGCAATCCAATCTTGTCTCTCTCTTTGACAAACATGCAGCTTTAGAGATACCATATGTGATCTTTATACACCAATTATTTATATACTAGAAGCGCTTCTAACTTTTGTCTCTCGTTGACTATTAGATAGATTTTTAACTCTAGAACAAATGTAATCGATTTATGTTATATTGACTACAACAAACATTACTAAAACATAATAAATAACATAAACACAATAAGGACATCTGGTTATTTTCAATAATATTCTCATAAAATTTGATTAAATAAAAAATATAATTTTCACTTAATTGAATAAATGCTTCGTCTAGGATAAATAGAACATATTTAAAAAAACCAATGATAATACTTTCATAACATTGGTATAGATTTTTTCAGAGCTCAAATTCAATCATGATTTAAACATATTTTTAAACAAATTTATTCTTCACAAAAAAAAAAGAACTAACCTGCAGAGCAATAATATCAGCAGCATAGGAACGTAATTCATCAAGTATTTGTTTTCGTCTATATTCCCATTTTAATGCCCACGATGGACAATAACCATAAACATGTCTTGTGGCATATTTATCACAAAGTATATTATAATTCATAACTGTAAATATCGCTGTGGACTGTGTTGTATTCGGTGATGCTAAACGAAGCCATGATCGTGTTGGTGGTGGTTGAATCGCTAAAATAAAAAGCCAAAATAATATTTCACATGATTCTTTGTTTATGAGGTTTTTAATTAAGTAACAAAAAAAAAACCGCCCAGATTGCCATGAGTTAGTTCAATTATTAGGAAAAAAAGATTATAATATTAATTCTTTTTTTTTTCTCTCACACTCTCTTTCGATCGGTGGTATCATATATCGGAGATAATACGCTGGTAAATGTCCCATTGCTCCGTTAATTGCATTATTATCAAAATATATTGATGATAAATTATTACTATTATTATTGAATTTTGTTAAATATAAATCGTGATAATTAAATATTGGATTTGGTTGTTGTTGTTGTTGTTGTTGTTGTATCCAAGAAATATTATTTGTATTAGTATAATATACGTCATTAGGATATTCATTAATTGAATTTATTATTGGAACTGATGGCCAATCATTTACTGATAAGCATTTACAACAATTAATATATGTATTTGGATATGGTGGTATTGTTGTTGAACATATACATTTAACATTATCATGATATTCTATTGTATATTTTATGTTAAGACCAGTTAAATCAACAGTAAATTTAGTTGGTGTTAATGTTGTATCATAATATCGATTATTATTAGAACGTTGTTTTTGTTGTCGATTTGAATAATATTTTGTACGTAAATTATATTTAATACGTTTAGCTTGACAATCTTCACAATAGTCTATTGTTGTTAAACGTCGTGTAGGATAAGAATTAAAACGATTACGTTTACGATTAGAAACATTTTCTTTTCCACAATTACATATAGTCAAATCATTTGATGTATTATTATTATTATTATTATTATTTAATGATAAATTTTTTTTATTTGATAAACGATTTTGATTAATAAAATTTGTTTGAAGTTCAGATGAAGATGATAATGAAGAAAGATTACTTATGCTTGATGATGGTGACGTTGAAGAAGATGACGATGAAGATACTGATGATGAAGATATACGACGAACTGATTGTGTTTGATTATTTACATTTTCTATTGAATATGAAAATGACGGTTCATCAAAATCGAATGTAAATGGTGAGGAGTGTGTTTGTGGTGATATACGTTGAATTGATTGTAATTCAAGATCAGTACCACTACTATAGTCTGATGTTTCAGATAATAGTGGAACTTTGACATCACTAGAATTTATAGAAAAACAAAACGATTTTTTTTATTAATGTAAATTTCAAAATGATTAATTTAATATGTATTTCGTTATTGTCTTACATAAAATACGATTTTTTTTTCAATCCAGATGATTTTAAATGAACGTTGTAAAACTTACAAGAGAATTTTTTTAACTGATTAATCGCTTTCTTATTAAAAAAACCTACTGGATAATGGATTATGGACCATGTTTATTCAGAATAAGACCATGAAAAATTCTCGTAAGTCTTTATCTGTTGATTTTCTAGAAAACCAGTTTTCCAGACTAATAAAAAAATTCTCTAAAATTTTTTTCAGTTTACTCAGAATATGGAACATATCGAATGAACCGTAAATCGATAATATTTTCTAATTTTCAAAACTGATTTCTAAATAAAATAGTATCATCTTAAAAATTTTCATATTAATATCTTGATTTCTAGCTGCTGTATGCATTTAAATGGATGTATTTTGAGCAATAAAAAACAATTCAAAATGGAAAAAGTTACGGTTTTTTTTTTTCGAAACAATTCGATATGCTCTATAGTCTTAACAAATCAAATAAAAATTCTGTCGGTCTAGAAAATCAATATATATGAAAAGCTCACAGGAATTTTCCATTGCTATATTCAGAATCAGTATTCCCTTGTTAGATTTACTTTACAATGTTAACAGAATATAAGGTAACATGCAATAATGCATTCATTAATAATAGTTGAATGTTATAGAATATTCTTGGTATAACAAAAACTATGTATTTCTCTATTCTAGCTATTTATTTTATTTGAATAAATGAAAATAATATTACTACAATACGTATTAAACTTTATTAACAATTAATTAGAAGTGAAAAATGAATAATTTATTAATCAATCTTGTCTGTTTGAATTTTTTATCGAGTGTATAAAAGTTTGTCGTGTTTGATTATCTTTATTCATGTATAAGCTATTGGTGCAATCAGAACGTAATGCATTAGTATCAGTAGAAGACCTCGTAAGTCTTGTCTAGAAGGAGATCATGTCAATCTTTGTAACATTTTCTTATTCTCTAGAGAGAAACTAAGTCCCTTCTAGTTACATCCTTAACATGTAAGAATTGACTATAAGCTTTAATTTTCAATTTCCATTAAAAAAGAATTCAATCGTTTAACAATTTTTATAACTGATAGAATTTTACACCATCTTTATTTGAAATAATTTTTATTAAATTAACAATCACTTAAATGCATCGTTCATCATCATTCTATTCAAGTGAAATATTTTCTGATGGAAAAATTTTATGAAATTAGTAGGAAAAAAGAACTACTTAAAAAAATTCTTTTCTTCTGTTATAAACGCAATATATTTTCATAGATTTTATTTTCTTGGCAATAATTATTATCTCAGCATGACATCGAATTTATACAAAAGAGTTCCATTTTTTAATAACTATTTCGATTAAATCCTTGGATTCTTCTAATAAAAAATCAATAAATTTACCTTGATATAATATCTTGTTTATGTTGTAACAAGAATGATGTTTGTCGAGTAGAATAAAATGCAGGCGAAAGTGGATTTAATGATGTTCGAAAGAATTTATTATTAGGTTTTGAGATATTGTTTTTTTCATTATCATTTAATTGTTCAGTACAAAATGGTACATGAAAGACATTTGAATTTGAAAGATTTTCATTTTGTATATTAATACTTTTTTTCTGTGATTTTGTTGATTGATTTAATGATCGTGTAGATGTATTATTATTGTTATTATTATTATTATTGTTGTTGTTGTTATTATTATTATTATTTCGTTGTATATTTGAATTATTGTTAACATGTCGTCGAGATGATGATGTCGGTATCGAACGATTATTTGTCGATGATGGAAATAAGTGTTTACATGAAACAGTAGCACGACGCGATTCCGTAATTGAATACATGGGATTGGTTTTTTTATATGAATAAAGTAAAAAATAGTAAAAAAATAAATTATTGAATATGTATCAAAAGGACGGTCTCGTCATTTTGGTGAACTATAATAGAAAAAAAGAAAAATTTTATGTGTAATATACTTGTTTTTTCGACTCTGATTTTGCTTTTCTATTAATGATGACGAAGAAAGATGAGAAACGTACAGGAAGTTATTATGAACAATATCGAAAATATTAAAAGTATCCATTTAGTAGATACTTTTTCTTGATGCTATTATTATACGAAAGGAAGCGAGTAAGGTCAATAGTTTTCACTCACCCTCGTTACCCTTGTCTTATTGTAATAATCATGATCATTCGTCATCGTTGTGTTCATAATACAGTAAAAGAAATAGAATCGTGAAAGTCAAGAGAGAACAGAAATTCTTCTTTGATTTTTTTTATTATTATTATTAACTTTCAATTTATTGAGCGCATTTCATTCTCTCAGAAACGAGGCTTTTTTTTCATATAATAAATCTATTACTACTTTTTCGAGTTAGAAAAAAAAAACAAATATGTAAAGAATTATATTAATAAGACTATGATTATACTTCTCATTTTTCTCTTTCTCTTTGCTATGTTTTTTCTTGGTCAAAGTAGTCAAGGCAAAAAAAAAAGAAAACGAGGAATAGAAGGAACTAATCTTCTTTTCCTTTTCTGTTCAACACATCGAAAGAGAGAAAAAAAAATTGAGAAGGAAAAAAACCTATATGCCATTACACCGTCCCTGGATGGTGCTCTGTTCTCTTGCTCATCTATTTTCAGTCGGATGATGATGAGTATTGAACAAGGCTTGCCTACTCACGCATCTATTCAGTCAACGCTAATTGTGTTGGCCAATTTTGAAGAAAAAAAATGGCAAAAACAGCTCTCTTGATGATTCAATAGGACTTAAGTACATAGACGAACTCTATCAAATACAAAAGAAATGACAAGAGATATTCAATGATCAAAATAATAGACGAATATGACTTTATATTCTTTATAACCCTGGGACATATGTGATAAAGAAAATAGGTTAAATTAGAAAATTTAATAAGTCTCCCTCGATTGTTTTTCAATGCAATTTTACTTATTTTTCTTTCATTTTATTACCTTCATTATGTCACGTTTTCTTGTCTTTCCGTTACTCGAGTGTATCTGCGCATTTTTAATCCTCATGTTATCATTAATTAATGATGAAAAGAAAAAAAAAAGGAAAGACTGGATATATCAAGGAATCTGTCTTAAGAAAAGAAAACAACCGTAAACATACAGATATTTTCTGTTGATTTACGATCAAAACTTTTATATACAGATCTATAAAACATGAACGAATAAATAAGAAAACAAAACATGTTCTGCAGTCGTCAATTATGGATCAGAACTCATCTATCTTTTTTTTTTCTTCTTTCTTCGACCGTTTTTTACATTTACACGTATATGTACATGCTGTGCGATTGGCTATGAGCAATGATGCGTGAAAGACAATGACACACTCAAACAAGGGTGCATCTCATATTGAAACACCTACGTTGCATATGTTCTTTTTTCTTCCTGTATGATTGCCAGTATATCATATAGATGATGTAAAAATTATTTCGTATCAGCAATTAATCTGTATTTATTTGATATAAGACAGTTATCAAATGATAACACCAGATTTTTTCGGAATTTTTCGCATTATTACATCATATACAATATGACTGTGCTCCTGCAAATAGATGTTCGTATTAGCGAAATTTGAAATCGTTCCTTCGAAAATGAAAATCTCGATAAAACATTGCCATCAATAATAATTAAAACGTACAGTTGATGTTCAAAGTTTCGTACACTTGATTTTTATATTTAAGTCATATAACAAGACTACACAGCATTAATAATTGAATATGATTATATGACTATATACTAGAGTTAAAATACTAAATACAATGTCTACGAAAATTATTCAATAAGGTTTATTGTAAAAATTTTTTACCGCGATTGTAAATGCTAGACAGATGCTGAATAGTAATTTAAGTAGAGAAAATTGTTTAAAATAAAGAATTATTGTCAGATTTTCCAAGATAACGACTCTAGAAAAAACCCAAACTCTAGTTTTTCAGCATGTAGAACGTTAAAGTAAACCATCCTCTACAGAATATCTTCGAGTTCTCTGCGACATTTCTGTTCGAGGTAGAGTAATATCACTAAAGGTCAAAATATGGCATTTCTTTAGAAAATAGTCAAAAAACGACTGTAGGGTTTCCATAAAATTGCTATATCTTAGCTAAACAACGTTGCAGAAAACTCGGTAACGTTTCATATTCTTGGGAATGGTTTGCTCTATCGTTCTATATAGTCTAGATAATATTATATTTACGCATTATAGGTGTTGAAAAAGCTAGAATTTTAATTTTCTGAAGTGTCTATATTTGGGAATTTAATAATATTTATTCTTTATTTTCTTATTGTTCTGTTGAAAACAATTTTTTCTATATGAATTATTATTTGAATTCTTTCTAGTGCCTACAGTGATGGAAAAAAATGAAAATAAACCTTGTCCAATAATTTTGGTACTTACCACACATTATACAAGAAATACTTGAATATAAAATACAATGAATAAATCAAAACGTTATTACTAACAAAAAAAAACAAAGACAACGCGACAAGCCTTAATAGTTTCATCGCACAAATTAAACCCGATGAACCGTGATATCAATATCCATGAGTATGCTCTAGAAGGCGCTAGAGACATGTCATTTCCTTATAACCTCTTATTTACGGCGTTCGAACTTGCAAAAAAAAAAAAAAAAAAGAAATACAAGCTTGAATGAACTACATGTAATGTAGTTAATTTGAAACGTATATGTTTAGTGTTAGATAAAACAAAAATTCATCATAGATCAAAATTTAAATAAGTAATTCATAATGTAAAATGTTTAGAATAACTACAGACAATAGTAACGCTTACTGGAGTATCAAAATGTATTATTTTACAAATCATTCAAATAGAGTGAGACAGCATTACTTATTCATTGAAAAAGAAAAAATTTTACTTCAGACATTTTGAATTATCAATAATACGAAATAATTAGAAAGTATTAAACACTATTATCATCATTGAGACATTACACATGAACAAGATGTGTGTAAATATTATCAGTGTTCATTAAAATATCGTCATTTCTCATAAATATCTTAAGAATACTATCATATTGTTTTTTTCATGTCATTTTTTTTCTTAATACTAAAATTTCTATTTATTCATTGTATTTTATATTCACATTTTTCTAGTATTAAACGCCTATATACTTAATAGTACTTAACATCTGCTGTACAAACATATAATCATGTTGAATTGATGGTGTGTAGTTTTGATGCAAAACTTAAAAAAAAAAAAGTGTCGCGACACTTTTAACGTCAACTGTGAATAAAAACGCAATATACTATTTTAATCTTCTATCTCAATAAAACAAACCTTTCATTTTGCATATGGTTATTGTATTGACAGCAATCAATTATAATAGACAAGAATCTTAGGACGTTTTTTCTTGAATATAATATTATCCAAAGTAGAAAAATGTCCACAAGTTTATATAATAGTACATTCAGCTGGTTTTTTCCCTTTTCAGTGTCTTCTTTTTCTTTGTGTTACAATATGTAAACAAACGACGCACTCTCTATTTTTCTTATACTGTACACCTTGGCAACGACATCCCTATTGTCAGTTGTTAAGCGTAAAAAAAAGCATGTATACGTGTGAAAAAAAATAGAATGACGCACAATGATCAAGTAAATATGTATACGTGGAGATTTTAATTATTATTATTTTATTGGCTAATCATCGTAAATAAAATAAAAATGAAATAGTCAATGATCATTAATGTGATTGTAGAAGTCATATTATTTCAGAAATTTTATTCGTTAATTTGTAACTTAAATACGATTTTTTTCACTGTTCGAAAGGAAAGCTTTCAGTTTGAAACAAGTAAATAGTGAAGCCATATTAAAGAAACATTGATTATTAAACGACCAATAGAAAAAAGAAAAATGAAGAAAAAAAATCACCAGGTAACCCCCATTTTTACTTTATGTTTACATGCATTGCACTATGCCCCTATGTTTGATGATTATTTCATACAAAAACGATTTAAAATTCATATGAAAATTGAAATATATAATGCACGCTCACCTATTTTAAATGTTTGCTTCATATTGTCATTGTATTTGTTTGGTATCATATTAACAAGAAAACTTGATAACGTAGAAAATTATAATACCTATATTTCGAAAATATTGTACAAAAGCGTGTGGGCAAGAAAAAAAAACTCATGGCAATCTTATAAAAGTTTTTCTTTTGTTTTTCTTTTTTCTTTTTATACCATTGAGAGACGTCGAAAAATGATCTAGGAAATAAGCTAATAATTTTTGTAAACCATTTGATTCAGAATAAATTGTAAAAATTTCATTTGGTAATGGATTTCCCAATAACCCTATAGAGTAAATGATAATTTAATTGTTGGTTTTTTTTTTGAATATAAAATAATTAATTTACCTAAACTTTGTAAACGAAATAATTTACCCATTTCATAAGGTAAATTTCGAATAAAATTATTTGTTAAATTCAATTCCCGCAATGTAATTAAATCACCTGTCAATAAAAAAGATAATCAGTGTTTCACATAGAGAAAACTTTAATTAAACAAACAAAATTTAACAAAACCAATGACCTTTAAGAAAAAAAAAAGGTGGAAATCGATTTATAAAAGATTTATAATAATATTTCTTTTTTTTTGAATAAAATTTTTTTTTTCAAAAAGAATGTCAAGATTTCTGATTTGATTAATAACCAATATGTTAAATGAGAATAAAAATTTCGACATTCATTTCAATACATCCAAATATTGAAATCATATTATTGAGTTTACACTTTCGTTCTTTGTTTGGATTCTGATAAATCTTTCCAAAATTTATTTAACAAAACTATTAGTTTTGAATATTTCTATCATTGTAATAGAATATTTCATTGGACAAAATCAAGGTATTGTTTTTGGACATTATTTTGAGAAGCCACGAAAACGGTAAGATGGGGATGTACACTCTCTCACTAGTCAATAATTGAAAATTATTCATTATTATGCAATAAAACTAACATGATTTTTAGAATTTTTTATTAGCTCTAAGAGCTATTTTTGTATGCACTTCCTATCTTGAGACTCGCGTGCGACCTTCAAGCATTTGTAGATACATATTTTATAATTTCGATTACATCAGAAATCTTCCGTACAACTGATAATTCATCACACCATCTCTAACGATACCTTAAATGCTTTTGTCATCACTGCTCTGTCTCTTCAATCCGCGATCCCTTCATTCATTGATTCGCTTCCGCCTCATCAAAAATTTGTTTTGACAGTCAACTTGTTTGCAATTTTTCCAAGCATTTAAGACAAACAAGTACGGTCGTAAACACAGCATTACGAAAGAGATAACGGCAATTCACATACATACACGATGCATGATGGTTATTGACGACTCTATAAAGACTCTGTATTCTTTGTCGTCGACATACATCATAGACTGTTTCAAAATACAACAAATTATTTAATCACAATAATTCATTTTTAAAACTTTTTAGCTGTTCCCGAAAAACAAAACCTTGCTAGCACAATCCTTGAGAGATTAAAACATGAAACACGATATGATTGCTGTTGCTAATCATAGAATATCGTTTGTTTTGTTCTATTTTGGGACATATTTCTTTATCAACCTTTTACTTAATGCTCCTAAAATGAAATAAGCAAGTAATTAATATATTATAACAAGACTTGGTTGATATACGATCAAAGATCATATATCAACAACGTCTGCCATAGTCTATGAAGCAAAGGAGCTCCAAAGGTTTTAAAGCTGTACATCAACACTTTTTTCGATCGTATTTCACAAATAACAGTGTAATATTATGACGTACGAGTTTTAAGATTATATATTAATGAAACATACCGATTTCAGATGGAAGATTTCTCAATTTATTATTTGATAGATCAAGTGTGACTAGGTTAGTTAAGCAAGCTATTTCAGATGGTAATCGTATTAATTGATTGTCATTTAAATATAAAACAGTTAATTGTGATAGTGTCCATAATGTTGGTGATAAATTGCGAACATTACCAGTTACTTCAAGTTCATTCCCTAGATAAAAACAATAGAAGTTTTTCTTTTGAAAAGTTTTATTATTTAATTTTTACACTCAAATTTTTTTTGTATTGAATCATCTGTTGAAAATAATAGTGAACGTTTAGTAGGTTTTTGTTGATGATCATTAGAATTTGAAGATGCATTTGTTAATGACAATGATGAGTGATATGGATAAAAATGAGATGGTTGTTGTTGTTGTTGTGGATGAGTTGCTTGATAATAATATTGTTGTGATGAATGATTATGTTGAGAATAATACATTGTTGATTGATCAACTGATAAAGAAATATGCTAAATTAAATAAATAAATATAAAATATAATGTATCTTTGAATTGAAAAATCATTTACATAGTTTGAATTGATACTAGGCATCGTTCTCTTATTTAAAATTCAAACAAAATAAACATCGAATTCTAAAAAAGAAAAAAACCTATTCATTTGAAGTTAGTAATATTCGAATGAAATATTAGTTTGTAATTTTCAAGTGCAATACATACGTATGAATAATACAAGAGCTAGACAATCTCATTAAAAAAGTAGATTAATGCAACGTTATGTTCGTATTATACGGGTACGTCAAACTGTCAATTTGGATAATGAGTTATATTTTTTTTTCTTTCCATATCGATTTTGTAACAATAGAAACGTAACGGTGTACCGTACCTTTCAGTACATATCTGAAGCGAAGAACCGTTTAATGCACAACTTTGCATTAATGTAAACATACATCAATAGAATGGCGATGAATGCATCCTAAAACTATGATGATCTCAGAGGCGTAGCCAGGGGGTGTGCACAGGGTGCCCGGGCACCCCCTTGACCAAAAAACGCCTGGAGGAGAGTACAGTTAAAATATCTTTTTTGAGAAATAAAAATTTATTTTGCTGCTGGTGCGTACATCTCATACTGAGTCGGCACCACCTTGAAAATTTTCTGGCTACTTCACTGGATGATCTTACAAGAGCATACTCTCAACTGATCAACCGTTTTTGAATTCGAACTTAGTGCATGAGGTAGGCTTCTATGAGATATGAAGAAAACTACAAAGGATAAATTTTGTCAGAAGTTAAAAACATTTTATTATAATTTTAGCCTTTTTTTATCGTATTACCAACCAATTGAATGAAGATATCTCGATCCGAGATTTCATCCATAAATCAGCCGATTTATTAGTTGAATGTCCTGAAAATTTCAGCTGGAAAGCATGTTTCCTTCTGGAAATCTCAAAACGTTAAAAAAAAAAGAAAATTCTAGAATCTTTTTGTGGAAGATGAGTGATTGATTTTTAAGAGTTTAAGGGTGTCTTAATTTTCGCGATTCAAGTCATATGTTGAATGTAAAAATATTTAGAAGAATAAGGAAATTTATTTTTAAGATCTCAGTTTATTCTCAAGGACAAATGTCTATAGTTCATCGATCTTAGATCAATGATAAAAACATATTTTTTACTGAAACAAGAATTAAGACAAGTTTTCAGTATCACTTAATATATTATTCCAGACTTTATGAAACTTGTTTTTTTCCAAATGCATTAAATTCTCACATACCAAAAAAAGAAAACAAAAATAATCTAAAATATAAAGAATGATTGTTTTAATTCTTTTTTTTTTTTTTATTTTTAATTATTCGCGTTGTTACATTAAAAAGATAAAAGAAATATGTACTGTTATTTCAGCACCTTATAATTGATTTTTTTTGAAATTTTGAGCAAAAATTCTTTCTGATTGCAAAAGATCAAAAACACACATCACAAGATTCTTTTTTTTTTCTTCTAGCATTGACAACAAAACAAAAAAAAAAAGAAGTATTTAAAGAAATGAGGAAGAACAAGAAGAGGAAGAAAACAAACCCATGAATAGATAAGTATGATAATAATAGCTCGTCTGCATGTGTGTGAATATCCTTGCTATTGAATTTTACAATACCATGAGAGAAATAGTCGATTGAGCAAGTCAAAGAAAAAAAAAAAAGAAAAATAAATTATTAGATATTTCAGGTCAAATATTAGAATTATTTTCATTCGGATCTATTTCTGTATTATCCCAAGATAATGGCATCTAAGGAAAAAAAAAACACATATTCAAATAAATATTTCGATTTTGATTTCATAGATATTTTTTTTACTTTATATGAAGACATTTTTGAAAAAGAACAAAGTAAATTCCATTTTTCACGTAAATAATTCATTACTTCACGTGTACCATTAGGTCGAGCAAATAAACTTAAGATATGATCACCAAGTGGATTATTGTTTAAACCTATTAAAGAAAATTGTTTTCTTGTTTAAAATTTAAAAGAAAAGTTTTTACCAAGATCTTCAATGTTGAGTTTGCCTAATTCATATGGCAAATTTTTAAGAAAATTTGATTCGAGATAAAGCCTTTTTAGATTAATTAAATCTCCTAAAAAAAAAACAAGAAACATTTTTTTTTATGTATTTTCCTAGAATATTACAAGTTTTAAAAACTTGCACTATATTAAACTTTTTAATTCTATTATTTATTGACATAAGAATATTATGGATTCAATGACTGTTTTGGATGCTGGATAAAGTGCGTAAGTTTGGTACCAAGCCTGAAAAGGAGACCACCAGATAAGATCGTATATCTACCACTCTGTTCGACCTCACTTTCAATAAAATAGAAAGATAAATCATGAACTTCTGCACAGTTTTATGTATCTATTCTTTTGTTTTGTTCATTACAATAATAAATATTCGAGGACTAAATAGTCTTAGCAATCGATCAGCTTTTGTTGTTTTCGATAAGAACTATGTTAGTCATAATTTGTTTCTTTTACAAAA